GAAAACAGACAATCTCAAGTTGAGGTTGAGTTTCACTTTGATGATAACAACGCAGTGATGATGATACATCATTCTAGCAAAGTACTGCAGTTAAACGGTGACTAAAAAAGTGTGGTTTGCGACTCATCATCGGTGATAGGTACTTGGTTTAATAAGATGATTAGAAAGGCTACCGCTTGCCAAAAGCTCTTGTCTAAAGTTTACCTGGAGTTCTTTAATTTAGGTGCTCGTTGAGTACAAAAGTCAAGGCAAGTGGTGGGATGGGCAGTCGCGGTTTTCCACATCAATTGAAGCAATTGTAATAGAATTAGACTTTCAGTATTGGTTTGACTTTAGCTTTGCACAAAATTAAAGTGTTTTGAGTAAACACGAGAGCTTTTAACTTTAAAAATTTAAAATTACACAGGTGTTTTAAGCAAACAGCTCTTTTAATAACGCCTAATCTTGAGTAACCCCAATTAAGATGAGCTTTTTATTTGTATTATTAGTTGGATAATCTCACAATAGTAGTCGTAGTAGTTTTAATTGAAAGTATCAGTTTTTAAATTAACAATGAAGATCTGTTTCATTAATTTAAACATAGACAACCATTGATTTTCATCAGGATTTCCGCCCAAAAGGTGCACAAACCCACACATTGATACCGGAACAGGTTACGTAAAACGTAAGAAACTAGTTTGCACTATTTATATAAAGTCACCCCTTTTTTTATGGCACATCTCAGTCACTACACGGCAGACTTAGCCAAAAGTTGCTATTATTTCCAATCATGAAGTTTTTCAGCTGCCTAGCTCTGCTGGCCACCATGGCCACACTGGCCTCGGCGAACCACGAGATTCGCATTCACAACAACTGCAAACACCGCATCTGGCCGGGTCTGCTGAACAACCCGGGCAAGGCACTGCCTGATGCGGGTGGATTTCCCTTGGATGCCGGACACACCCACGTCATTCACGTCAGGTTTGTAAAATAGCTAAAACGATGAAAATGGACTCACATTTTTAACTTTTTTTTTACTTTCAGCGATGGCTGGGCCGGTCGAGTCTGGGCACGAACTGGCTGCAATGGCGCTGGCCACTGTGAGACGGGAGACTGCGGTAAAATTTGACTTTTTAAGTTTATGAGTTTTTTAATTGTTCATTTTTCTCCAGGCAACAAAATCCAATGCCACGGAGCAGGCGGCCGACCTNCTTCCGCAAGGTGGGCAACTCCCACTACGACTGCAATGCTGCCGGCTGCCACGGCGACCTGAACGGTCACTGCCCACATGAGCTGGCGCAGAAGGGCGCCGGCGGACACACCGTTGGATGCAAATCAGCATGCCTTGCCTTCAACACCGACGAGTACTGCTGCCGAGGAGCCCACAACAAGCCCGAGACGTGCAAGTCCCGAAACTGGAAGGTCAACTACCCGGCCATCTTCAAGAAGTCATGCCCGGATGCCTACTCCTACGCCTACGATGATCACAGCTCTACCTTTACCTGCCACAGCAATGGCGCCCATAAGACGGGCTACATTGTCAAGTTTTGCTAAATTGTTTTTGTAAAATAGCTCATTGAGACTTTTTAATAAAATGGTCATATAAAAAACCTGTAATAGTTTGATCAGATCTGAAGGTGTTGGTCCGTTTGACAGTTACAAGTTCAGTACAGTCTGATAATTGCGATCTTGTGAATGAGACCTCTTTAGTGGTAGTAAAAGATTGGTGTAGTAGTAAAGTTTTAATTCAGTACTAGTGTAGTGAATGTATGGGTGACACAGAGTTCACCCATTGAGAGATTGATAGGCAAACCGCGCGCAGTTCCAAGAACCAAGGTTTCCAATTTGCAAAATGGCAATCAACACATGTAAGTTCATTCGGGGTTTGCCTGGGTGGCTTATCAAAAAAGAAGGCTAAATATGGAGTAAAGTGATTGTGATACTTTGGACAGCGGCGCTATCTGACAGTAAACACCAAATCGGCCT